ATCAACCCGAACTGCCTCTGCATAGGACTCCGGTTCACCACCGTCAGTAAGCAACAAATAGAAATTAGAAGGTGAATACCTATTTGGTGCTCTTCGGTTCCTAGCAGGCCGCTGCCTTGGCGGAGTTGATGGATCCTCATCACTGCTCATCTCTTCATTCTGATCCTGCTTGCTCCCACCCGAATTAGAGATATCCAGCTCTATGATCTTCGGACTTTCTTGCTCAGAATCAGATGCGCTCAATCTGTCCTTGTACAGAACCTGCTCGTTGAACACCACATCTCGATTACGAATAATCTTCCTATTCTTCTCATCCCATAATCTGTATCCATAGTCATCACCACCATATCCAACGAACGTACACTTCACAGATTTTGCGTCTAACTTGCTGCGGTCAACGGAACTGATATGAACATAAGCAACACAACCAAATATGCGGAGATAGGACAGATTTACCTCTTTACCCGTCCACCTTTCTTCAGGAATGCCATTCTCCAACGAGATCGTTGGACTTCTGTTGATGAGAAAAGCCGCGGTGTTCACTGCATCCGCCCAAGACATCTTCGGTAAGCCACTCTTCAACCTCATGCATCTAGCCCGCTCATTCAGTGTTCTGTTCATGCGTTCAGCAACGCCATTATGCTGCGGACTCCCCTTAGTTGTCTTCTCCATACGAACCCCATTCTCAGCACAAAAATTCTTGAACTCATGCAGTTCATACTCACCCCCATTATCTGACCGAAGGCACTTCAAGTTCAGACTTGACTATGTCTCAACACGAGCTTTCCACCTCCTGAAAGCATCAAAGGCATCAGATTTATTTTTGAGAAAATAAACCCACACCTTTCTTGTGGCATCATCAATAAAGGTCATGTAGTAGGCGGATCCTCCCAAGGATGTAACTTCTGCAGGTCCCCAAAGGTCGGTGTGAACTAGTTCCAGCTTCTCCGGTTTGATAGCTCGTCTTCCCTTTGAGAAACTGACACGTTTCTATTTCCCGAATATGCAGTCCTCGCATAAGCCAACTTCAACAGTCTTCAGGCCGGGCAGTTTGCCCTTCGAGCACAGCTCCTTCATCCCCTTTTCGCTCATGTGACCGAGCCGACAGTGCCACAAATTCACATCTTTTGTTGCAGCGGCAACAACATCGATGCAGTCCTTTGAGTTTGTTGTCATGTACAATGTACCCTCCTTCTTCCCCTTAGCAACCAGCAAGGCTTCCTTGGTGATCTTCCAATTTCTGCTGCCGAATGTAACTGCATAACCTTCCTCATCCAGCTGCCCATTTGAAAGAAGATTCCTCCTCAAACCAGGAATGTGTCGGACACCATTTAGTTTCAGCATGCATCCGTTCGGAGTCTTCACGTGGTCTGTCCCCTTCCCGACAATTTTAAGAGGCTCATCATCAGCAAGATACACCTCTCCAAAATTGCCGGGAGTATACTGTTCCATCACTTCAGAGTTACCACATGAATGGAACGAGGCTCCAGAATCCAGAACTTATGACTCCAACGGACTGCTCACGCTCAGAATCAGGAGATCATCACCCGATGATTCTGCCGCTGCATTGGCAGATGTCTTCTCCTTCTGATCCTTGATCTGCTCCTTGCACTGGCTCTTGAAGTGTCCGTACTCCTCACAATTCCAGCACTTGATCTGACTTCTGTCCTTCTTGCCCTTGCTGTTTGACTTGGATTTGGATCTTGATCTATCCCGATTTGACTTTGACTTTGATTTCGTTCTGCCCCGGTTCTCTGCACTCAACGCCGATCCAGAAGCCAAACCTGATTCCTTCCTGCGAATTTCTTCGCTGACCACCAGATTTCCGACTTCATCGAATTTCAGTTTCTCCTTCCCTGCCGAAGCGCTGACTGCAGTCACCGTTCCGTTCCAGCTTTCCGGGAGAGAAGACAGCAGAATTAGGGCATGAATTTCGTCGTCGAACTTGATCTCAACCGCGCTCAATTGTGTGGTGATTAAATTGAACTCGTTGAGATGCTCCACACCTCCCGTGGTTTCTGACATCTTAAGGTTAAAAAGACGCCTCATGAGATGTACCTTGTTCGCAGCAGAAGGTTTCTCATACATATTCGTTAATATTTGCAACATCTCCTTCGTCGTTTTTGCTTTAACGGTATGTAGGGCGATGTTTCTGGACAGCGACAATCGCACCACGCTCATCGCTTTCCTGTCCAGCAACTTCCAATCGCTCTCCTTCATGTCTTCCGGCTTATCCTCCAGAGGTTGATACAGATCTTTACCGTACAGGTAATCTTTGATCTGCAGCTTCCAGAAGCCGAAATCAGTCCCATCAAACTGCATCAACGGTGTCTTCAAATCTGCCATCGTGTTGAACTCTCCCTTCGAACCTAGGGCTCTTGATACGAGTTGTTAGGAATTTAACTCACAAACACGAAGAACAATTAAAGAACACACGAAATTTGGTAACCCAGTTCGCCACAGAGGACTACGTCTGGGGGCGCTACCAAACCAGGAATGTTATTAATATTTTCTGGATGCAGATTACAAGAGAGGAGAGTGGTATTTATAGAGATGCAGTATCTTGTTCCCAAAGCAACATAACCCCTAATTAAATTAGGATGTGTTTCCAAAAATAAATTAAGAAACGTGTTTCCAAGAATAAATTAAGAAACTGTCTCTAACACCTTACATTTCTTGTATAAAAATTTTAAAATTTTCTACTAATATCTTTTTATATTGATAAATAGGCCTTGGTGTTTATTTTAGAGGGGACATGCTATTCATTTTGGTGTATCTTTGAGTTCTCGTATCCATATCGATCACTACATCAAAGATGACTTGATTTCTGTAATACTTCCTCCCTCAAAAAATTCTAGTTTTGTTTAGTAACACGGAAAACTTTCTACTTTGTTTCTCTAACTTCCTAAAATATCATTTTTTATACTTGGAGTAAATATTACCCTGATCCCCTAGCTTGTCATATAGTTTATGTTTACATTTTTTGTAGACAAATCAACTTTGGTCAAATTTTGCGAGACGGGAATACTACAAAGTATTTTATTTGAGTCTACTTTACACTATGCATTGATTATTAATTGAGTTATTAAAGTAAATCCACAAGAGTTTCTGTACTTTTTAAAAGCCTACAACAATAACAACAACAATCATCAGCATAACTCAAATGGTAAAACAAATCAATACTAAAGGGTTTATGTATAATTGAAATACCTAATTAAGAGTTCAATTGGTTATTTGTGTGTTTCATCACCTGACAATATAACTTTTTCAAATACTAATCTTTTTATTCACGTAGTGAATTATGAAACAATCTAATTGAGTAAAGCTGAAATAATTTTATGTCTAAATTTGATGAATAAATTATTTAATTTTATTCGTATTATTTGCATTCAAATTTCTCCTAATTCAGCATATTTAGCCATTGCGAGGGGTAAGTCCCTTTATAAATGAAAAAAAGATCTGTTTCTACACACTTTTTGTACACATCTCATGCACACGTTTGTGAATAATTAAACCTTAAAAATGATTGAAAAGAACTATTTGTACACACTTTTTGTACACATCTTCCGCATGTTTCTATGAATAGGTTTTTTCCTGTGAATAACATGTTGGAAATACTTTTACATATAGCGGAAGCAAGGCTCAAATTGGACACTATGGTTTCATCAGAATCTCATATTTGACACTAAGGTTTCAAATGGATCAAATTAGACACTATGATTTCATATTTATCTCATATTAGACACTAAAGTTTCATAATTCATAGGTTTTGGACACTCACTTATATTGGATAAAGATCAAATTGGACACTCATTTATATTGAATTATGAAACTTTAGTGTCCAATATGAGATGCATATGAAACCATAGTGTCTAATTTGGTCCATTTAAAACCTTGGTGTCAAATATGAGATTCTGATGAAACCGTAGTGTCAAATTTGAGCCTTACCCCGCGGAAGCAATACAAGAACGAATCAAATGGATTGTTCAATAATTCCAGGACCTTCATCATGTTGAATAATAGAGTATAATAAGATTACTACCTGGATCCACAGCGAAGCCGCAGGAGGAATGGAACGAGATAGATGGCGTCTGGATTTTCCTCAATTGAACCCGAGGCCCTCTTCCGATGGGGAGAAGAGAAGTGAATTGGTGGTGGTTCAATGTATTGGGGACCATAGCCTATTTATAGATTGTGTTGGTCTAGTTAGGGCTCCCATTATACTCTAACAAGCAACACGGGCCTCTGCCCATTTATTTGGTCCATACAATTTATCTTAATAGTCTCTTGGGTTTAGATAATATATTGACCACATAAATAAAACCCAATTATGATAAATAGCTAATACAATAATTATAATGTTAGCCCATATTAATTATTGGAATAAAATATTCCAACAATCTCCCACTTGGGCTACATATTGTAATTATATTTCTTTAGGCGCGCCTTAGTATGCTATCTATTTTTAGATTTGAACTTAGACAATCTGGTCCACCTCATGTATTAATAATGGAATTACTGTGGCTTTTGTCATATTGTTAATTCATGACTAAACCACAACAACCACCATAAAAATACAATTGATGACATAGATCTGTATGGGTGAGCACCATGAAAATTACATGTGAAATGGTCTCCATCATGCCTATTTTCAACTGGTCCAACTTTAGTCTTTATTGAGACCAACCTCAAGTCTCTTGAGTGTAAATTAAATATTACACATTACTAGATACAAAATTTAGCTATAGAGCTAATAAAACTTTATTTCTGCAGAAACTTTAAATTTTGTATCAATAAATTATAAAAGAATAACTCCCACTCAACTAAACAACCTTTGGCAACCACACTCATAAGAGTTGAATGCTCATGAAAGACTTTCGGTGTTTATCCCTTAGTTAGTGGGTTTAAATCTCTTACTTTAGTTTATGCCATAAAATGACCAAACTCTCAAGCATATAAGGATTATCTTAGTAAAGACTCATAACTAACAATATCTGAATTATAAAAGAGACTTACTTTATTATTTCCGAAGGAACAATAAGAACCATATTTGTTGAACATAGAAATACCAATTAAAATACCGCCTAATAGACGGTGTAACAAAATGTCTCAATTAAAATTAAAATAAATAAAAACAAGTCCTTATAAAATAATATAAAAGTTCTTTTAGCTTGAACTTCACTTTATTGTCATCGGTCATCACCAACATAAATATACTTTTCAGCATCATTTGGTGGACGAATCCACAGGCAAACCTGCATAGACATACTTATGTGAGTAGTAGTACCAAAATCTACCCACGTGTCTTTAGGTAACAAAACTCAATTAATTTTAGAACAAACAAAATTGAGAAGTTTACCCTTCTTCACACGCCAAGCGGCGTACTTAGAACACTCCTTTTTTGTGTGTGCAGATTTTTTGCAGAAAAAACAAGCAAATGCCTCACCTTGTTTCTTCTCCTTCTTCTTTGAAGAATTTTCCGCACCAACCGCATGCTTCTTCCTCTTCTTATTGTGAGATGTTAGAGCAAAATGAGCACTCTCTATCTTATCTCTCTGCAGCCTCTCTTCCTCTTGCACACAATGAGATATAAGCTCATTAAGGGACCATTTGTCCTTTTGGGTGTTATATCTCACTATGAATTGCCCAAAGTAGGCCGGAAGAGAGATCAAAACCAAGTGAACGAGCAAATCCTCAGGTAGCTCTAACTTTAGTTCCTTGAGTTTTGACGCGAGATTAGACATCTCCATAATGTACTCACGAATGTTTCCTTTACCTTTATACCTCATAGAGACAAGTTTAGCCAAATGGCTACTTGTTTCAGCCTTTTCATTCTTGGCAAATAATCGCTCAATTTCCATTAGAAACCTTTTTGCATTCTCACCCTCCGTAATTGAGCCTCGATACGCCTCAGGAATGGTGCGCTTCACAATCATTAGGCACATCCGGTTGGACCGATCCCACTTCTCAATTTTCGCCTCATTAGAGTTTTATGGAGTGGAAGTGGGTCACTCCGTCCTTAATGCCAGATCTAAATCCAGCATTCTAAAACAATTTCTACAACCTCTTTCCAAGACTTGAAATTTGTTCCATTAACATCGGGATTCCATTGACTTGAGTGGTAAAATTAGGAGCATTGGCGGTAGCAAATAAAATAAAATAATAATATATTAGTATACGCTCCAAATTACAACCAATTTTTGTGAAATTAAAAGACCCAAACAAGATACCTAGTGCAACATTAAACTCCAATCTTTGGATTGGTAGGATAATTGCAATTGGTACTCTCAATGCATTAATCAAATATTGGTGATAAATCCTGTCAAATAATGGTTGCCTTTGGGCATTCCGCTATTCACATGGAATGAAAATTAAAATTAAATTCTCCCTTATAATCACCACATATTTATTATTGCAGGTATGTAAATAATTCGGTCAAATTATGTCTTCCTTTGGGACGATCATAATTCACATGAATCATCACATACAAACATCTATGATAAAAAATTTAATTGAATTAGTCAATCCAATAGAGGTTACTTTGGCAACATGTGGTTTGAGTTCATTCAATTAAAAAAAATTATCAGACAATTTCATTTAAATGGGAGGTCTTAAAATTTTCACATACTTTATTACCGAACACAAGATGACTATCTTTAATGTTATAATATGTATAACTAAAAAACGGAAGGTATAAATACCCCTTGTCATAAAAAAACGGATACATCTTTAAATTGGATATGATTGGAATCACTTATATCATACCCAAAATTTAAGACATAAAAGCATATCATACCCAAAAATTAAGACACAAAATTTTGGCCGTCGTTTTGACTTCTCCTTTTTACTTCTTTAGTTTTAGGGTATACCATTGTGATTTATGTACATTTACAATTGTAAGGAATGATGATATAAATTTAATGAAAATATTTGTTTGATGTTTTGATTATTTATTGCTAGTAATGGATGTTTTGATTATTTATTGATAATAAAACATTTTAGTATGATATATATGTAGTATATATATATATATATATATCTTATGATACTACTGTATCACTAAAAAAATATGATGCAATGGTATCACAAAAATTCTTGTTATGTATATATCACTAAAAAACATGATTCATTGGTATCACAAAAATCCTTGTTACATATATATCACAGTTCATAATGATGTTTTTATGTCATCATTTTGTGACACAAAAGTGATTTGTTAACGGTGACACTAAATTTTGTGTCACTTGCCCCCTTTGTCTGTGACACTTTCAGAGTGTCACTAAATCGTTTAGTGACACTAATTTAATGTCACTATAAGACAGTTTTCTACTAGTGCGTAACATATATGTCCATTCCTTTAAGATATTTTATGCTTAAGATACCATGTACGTTTAACATGTGTACTTGCACATATATGTGCAAGTACACATGTTAAACGTACATGGTATCTTAAGCATAAAATATCTTAAAGGAATGGAACGAGGTAGATGGCGTCTGGATCTTCCTCAATTGAACCCGAGGCCTTAGTCTCTCTTCCGATGGGGAGAAGAGAAGTGAATTGGTGGTGGTTCAATGTATTGGAGACCATAGTCTATTTATAGATTGTGTTGGTCTAGTTAGGACTCCCATTATACTCTAACAAGCAACACGGGCCTCTGCCCATTTATTTGGCCCATACAATTTATCTTAATAGTCTCTTGGGTTTAGATAATATATTGACCACATAAATAAAACTCAATTATGATAAATAGCTAATACAATAATTATAATATTAGCCCATATTAATTATTGGAATAAAATATTCCAACATAACCTGCTCACAAACATATTATTTTGTCTATGGACATACTATGTGCAGACAAAAGAATTGCTTGTTGACGAATGTATGTATAAGATGTGCATAAAAAGTGTGTACACATGAATGTTAAAAAATATGGTAATCACATACAATTGACAACTCATGTTTAGAATGTCTAGCGTAGTTAGTACTTAAGCTGGGCCCAGACAAGTCATGAGAAATACATGCAAGAGTCTAAAAAGGGAAGATAATGAAATGCATGGTATCATGCTATCACGTGTTCCGCCTTGTTCTTTTATTTAAGTCACTATAATCTGGTCATGATAGTGCTCGATCATAACAAAATTAGTTGCAGATTAATGGTATATATTAGAAATGTGTTTCATCATTTGTATCATCGGCCCTCCATACACAATCATATATGAAACGTTTTACATCTCATATTTGATATGTATTAGACACAACATCCACAACTAAAAATGTGTATCTACACACGTTTGAATCTTTCAGAAGTGATAATTTAAAAATTGAAGACACATAATAAGATAATATCAATATGTACATCACATTCAGACATTCAGTCACTAATTAAAAAACTGATTTGACAACTTTAGAAATGAATTGAAAAGATTAAAATAATGTACTTGTAATAAATTTGGTCTTTACATTCAATTCCCTTTCTCACAACTCACTTTACCATTGGATTCCAAAATCAACGAATAATTTTAATTTATAAGAATAAATGAATTTGATGTATAAAATTTTAAAATTTTCAATTTATATCTTTGTTTATATTGATAAATAGGCCTTAGTGTTTTTGTCTTGTATTTAAGGAGGGACATGTTATTCGATTTGGTGTATCTTTGAATTCTAGTATCCATATTGATCACAACAAAGATGACTTGATCTATGTAATACTCAGCTCCATCCCTCCTTAAAACTTTGTAGTTTTGTTTGATAACACGGAAAACTTCTTAGTTTGATTTTTCAACTTCCTAAAATATCTTTTTTTTATAGTTAGAGTAAATATTAATCCAATCCCTTAACTCGTCCCACAGTTTAACTTTAGATTTTTTACAAATTCAACTTTGATCAAATTTTCAGAGACATGAGTTCTATAGAGTAGATTATTATTTGACTATACTTTACAATATACATTGATTATTTATTATTACTTGAGGTATTAAAATAAATCAATAAGAATTTCATTATCAAATAAGGAAAGATGGTATTTAAAGCCGCTGGAGAGCTTCTTTACAAAATTCGTATGAATTTATTTTTTTGTTTTAAAAAGAAAATACAAAGGACATATTTTAATTATGCATTACTAAGGGTGACTTATCATTTGTTAAAATTTTCATGAGCTATTTGGAGGAGTTCAAAGAAGTTTCTGGATTGATAGTAAACGTGGAAAAATCTAATGTTTTCATTACTATGGTGGAGAGGTTGATTAAAGAAGCCATTTTAGGTATTAGGATGTTTTTACTTGGACTGTAATTTTCTGGTCTGGTCTTGTCTGTTTAAGTCTGGTTTGGTCTGAACTAGTCTGATAAACGTCTGGTTTCTGTGTATTTTATAACTATGGAAGTTTGGTCTGGTCTGTTTAAGTCTAGTCTGGTCTGGGACTGAAAACAGTCCAAGTAAAAACATCCTTACTAGTTCTAAAGAATGTTGTGTTGCAGTGAAGCCAGTGAGATACCTCGGATTCCTTTTCCTTGATTTCAAATATAGTCTTAGTTCAAAATAGATTACAAATTGAAATCTTGAGTAATAATGTTCCTGAAAATATTTAATAAATGAAAGGATTTCTTAAGTAAGTGCAAGAACTTTTCTAAATATGACTTTGAAGCTATTTTACTATTTATAATTTAAATTTCAATCATATGTCGATTCATGTTATCGAACACAAACTACTTTGGGATTAGGATTTGAATTGTGTTCTTGTTATTGTAGACTTAGAATTACTTCCACAAGAATTCGCGCAACAATTCGCTAACCAGTGAACGCGTAAATAGTCTATGAAGACCAAAAGGAGAGACTTATCTCTCATAACAACCGTAAACATCGCAGAAACGACATTAACAGAATCAAAACAAAACCAAGGTATAATGTCTAAAGAAAGAAAAATTAAGCTTGAGATAAAAATAAAACAAAATCGAGAGTCAATAATAAACTCTTTATTGGGTCTTGGATCGACATATTTGGTTTAAATTATCATTTAACTCTCATACCGAGCCTCCCTACAATTCACTTTAACTATCTGCTTTAAATAAATTTAAATCAACTTTCTACTTTCGTTTTAGTAATATTCACACAGTAAAAGGCCATATTATCTTTCTACATCTTACCCCTTACATTGTGCGCTATATATTTCCCTACTATCCTAACACTCTACCGCACTTTAATCCCTTGTGTTACATTCTTTTAGAACTCTAATTATCTCTCTCATGGATCCTCTTCGTTCTCCTTCATTGTTTCTCCTTTTTCTTTCATTGGCTCTCTCTCATCATTGTGTGTTCCCTTTCATTGTTGCCCCCCTTCTCTTTCGATTTCTTGCACTGCTACCCCCTTTTAAAAGATCTAAAATTCAACAGTGTTCATAAATCATCACTTTTTAAAAACCTTAATCTTCGTTTAGATATAAATGTGTCACAGCTTACAAATCTAAAACATAATCAGATTTTGCGCTTGAAAGCTTCACAAAGTTCAGATCTAAAAATACGCACCATTGTCATTTAAGATCTGAAAACTTTACCAAGTTCTTAACTGCGCGCATCCAACAAGCAAAAGTGGTGGATCAATTTCATCGTACTTATTTTATTTCTATGATGAATAAGGAGACAGGGGGAAATCAAAGGCCTATTGATGATGAATAGTGACGATGTCTTTGCAGAAAGTCCTCCTTTTACAAAGACGTGGTTCTAAGAACATTAATTGTCTTTCCTCCTTTTGAGCTTCTTTTGTGTTATGTGTTATCATGTAGCGATATGTGTTACCATTTGTGTGTGAAACATCTTTGTATGGAGTTGTTGTATTAATGGAATAGTATTGTTACTTATGGAGATGTAAGAGTAGTTTATTAATTGCAATTACATAAGGATTTGAGTTCAATATTTCCTCCTCCTATATTAATCTAATAT